CACGCAATACGGTTGACTCTACTATCTTTAAAATGCGAATTAATTAAATTTTTAGACTACACGCCGATTTGCTAGTGGTAAATTTTTTTTACTAGGCAACACTCAGTGCACGTCGTAAGTTTAAATGCGAATAAATTACCATTTTTTTATGGATCACACTGGTCGCTTCGGTTGCAAAACGCGAATATTTCCAGAATCTCCCGAGAATACCTTAAATTCTTGTTAATTAATTACCACCCACAAAATGGTGAATTGTTAACGAAGTCGGACGTCTTTTTTAATTCGTTAACTAAATCCCGCCCTAAAAATTAAATAAAAGCGAGGGTGATAAATCATATCCCACGCATTTCTCAAATATACCACGCTGCTGCATGGCATCACGCCGAGTTCGCAGTTGTAACCAAATAGCCCTAATTAATATAACTGAATATGATCCCCATTCCAGACATTTCGTCACCTTGGTTTCCTAAACTAATTAAGCTAGCAATACTTAATTCAATCGAAAATACGCAGAAAGTACGATCTTCAATTCCAGACCCAAACAGTGACGGATTTTTTAAATTCCACCAAATGTAATTTATTGGAATATTAACCGTCTAATTTATTTTCACCTTGTAGGTTTCAATGCCTAAACTGATCTAACCTTTAAAAGCTCAAACATTTCGACTGTACCTATTTCAATCAAATTCAAAAAATTAAAGCTGGCGCTCTTACAATAACATTTGGTTTCACCAGTGGCGTATCATTAACATTTAGCTAGTAAAAAGACTTTGAGAAAAAACCATACGCGGGAAGAACTTAAACTTTTCATTTTATAAGCCAAAAAGAGGCTATGCATTTTTAGTGGTGAAGGTTATTTTGTTATTAAACATTTATCAGTAAACTATGCACGGTGCTGAGATAACCCTAGGGTTTATCATTTTGCGTGTTTTTGATCTGAAATTGAACAGTTATTGGTAAACCAAAAATAGCTGTTGTTGTAGGTATAAGAGTCAGAAGCGAATCTACCATAGTTTATGTAGTGGTAACCTTAAATAAAGGAATTGATATATCCCTGCTGGTTGTGGTTCAGATTGAAGATCCTGTCAATAAATAATTGTGACGAACTTCACAAGCAGATCAATTAAGATTTAAAGATCGTCAAGAAACTGGGATACGTTTCCAGCAAAAGGAACCCTATGTTAATGGTAAGTGGCAGTCGGAGTCGCGTGTGAGCTAGTGGACCTGAAAACATGTAGTGTGGATGATTCTTTTATACAGTTTCTGTGAATGTTAAGTACGGGGGTCTGTGCTTTTGATGTTTAGAAATTGATAGATCCTTGGTGTTGATGACACAGTTAGCGTCACTTTTATGAAATGCTTCATAATATATTTTAGAAGTTTGTCCACAGAGGGCTTAACGTTGACCGACAGAAACGGCTACCATTTCTGTGGGTCAACGTTAAACCCTTCTGTTAGTATCTATGGTAGTTAATCATCTTAGGAAGCATAAATTGGAATATGAACTGCAAGTAAGGGGTGTGTGTGTGAGTGAGATAAGTGTGGCAGATGTGTATCAGTTTGAGAGGCCTAATAAAATTAGAAAAGGACGACATTAATTATAAATAATTAATCATTAATTAGTGGGGTGGAAAATGATAAGCGCGCATCGACTTACAGGAGATATATGTCTCGCACCTTACATTTGAAAAGTCGTATTAATAGCATACCTGTAAGTGCTGGAATGAATGCGGAAACCTTGAAAATTTGCAACCTCTGGTTAGGGAAAGTGTCGGTTCTTTAGAGCTAGGTAGTAAACAATCTTTGTCGTCGAATTTGAGCATTGTGGCTGGTTCAAAAGATCCCGGAAGTTTACATAAAGTGACGTCTAATGAGGAATTGGAAATTCCTACTCAATTTCAATTTCCGAGAACTTATAAAGCCCGGTCTGTGGAAAGTTGTGGTCCCTAAAGTATCATGTATTTTATCGAAAGAGTGGAAGAGCTGCGCAAAGCGAGATATGTGTCTGAGAGTTAGCTTTTTGATTCTGCATTAGATTTATTAGAGGGGACGCTAGGTTGTGGTATAGGTCAATCGCAACGAGCTACCATCATTATTGTGCCTCCCGACTATAGGCCAACACTTTTTTCCCATTTACTCTTCTTGTATGAATACTTTATTCCCCGGTATGGTGACATGACATTCAACTTGATATCTTGGTGAGGAACCTAGTTCCGTATTATACCATGCAATTGCCGGTGATCAAATCACTAACCGCATTGGTGCCATTTTGAGCCACGAAAAAAAAATTGTCTCAGATCGACCGGGAAAAAACATTTTCTTATAGATTGTGGCCTGTAGAATCCATAATTTCAAACAGTGCCAAGATTGGGCTACTGGTTCAAAAGTTACAGCCCTTTGAATTTTCTTTCGAAATTGGTTTCTAGTCTATAACTTTTGATTGAGAAGTCTAATCGAAAAAGTACGAATTGTTTTGGATTCTACGCACCAAAATTAATAAGAAAAAGTGTTTTCCCGAGAAATTTTGGTGTAGTCGATTTTTGGTAAAAAAGGAAGGTCTCAGATCGACCGGGAAAAATCATTTTCTTATAAATTGTGGCCTGTAGAATCCATAATTTCAAACAGTTCCAAGATTGGGCTCCGGTTCAAAAGTTACAGCCCTTTGAATTTTCTTTCGAAATTGGTTTCTAGTCTATAACTTTTGATTGAGAAGGGCGATAATTATCGTGCACCATCTGTCTTGTGTGGTTACCCCTGTTATTTCTGGTTTTATTGAGTGCGTTGAGTTTGAGGAATTGCAGGAATTACCTGAAAAATGGTTACCTTGCTAGAGTCTGTCATACACCGCTCGGGAAGCACTGTCTTAAATGTGGTGATCTTGATGATACAATTCGGGAATGTTCTCGCTGCCGATCTAGTTCAAAAAACGAGTAGTGGAGGTCATCTCTGAGATTTCAAAAGGTCAATCGGGTCAAATGTTTACTAGATACTAGTCCAAGTTGCCAGATATTACTGTTGCAAATGCCAGTCATGTGCGTATGTGGAGTTCTGCGAGTTCCGATTAAACTGAATGTAGTTGTGCCAATCTTGGGTCAATTTTTAATATTGGGGCTGGATTTCTGAACTCAGATGGGAATTGTGCCGAATCTAAGGGCAAAGGAGTGAAAATTTACGGCTGAGGGAGAAGTCGAAGTGAATTCATTAGAAACCGTGAACTCGAAACAAAATCTGGATCCTGAACGTAGACTATGCGAGGCTCTTGAGAGTTATGCCAGTCTTTTAGTTGCACCGACTTAGTCTAGCATAAAATTCAACCCAACCCCAACCCAAGCGACATTATCCAGTATCGCCTGCTTTGCTGAAGGAGATAGACGTTCAATTGCAGCAAATGCTTGATAAGGGCGTAATCGAACCCTCGACTAGTCCTTGGAGTAGCCTGATTGTGATGCTAAAGGAAAGAATGGGTGATGGAGATTCTTTCATCAGCTCAATAAAGTTACTAGGCGTGACGCCTATCCTTTGTCGTTTGTTCCGAACATTTTAGATAGTTTATGGGATGCCAGATTTCTAACCAATTTAGACCTAAGGTCGGCTTATATCCAAATCCCTCTTAGCGAGGATTCTCGACCATTGAGAGCTTTTACAGTACCGTCCTATGATCTGTATCAAGGCTATTAACCAACTTAAAAGTTGTTTGGATCTGCTCCGATTTTGTCATGTCCAGATTACAATAGGCCGTTCGTCATTCAAAAACCGATGCTAATGTGTTTTGCATAGGGCACTCTGGAGTTTGACCTGGGTATAGTATGGTGTCGGCACTCACTTTCGGTCGTGTTAGAACTAGACCCACTGTACTGCCCATGGGGGTTATCTTAAATGAATGATGATTTAGGCCTGGAGTTGTCCACCATCCTTATGGTCTTTTGGGAACAAATCGTAATTCTGAACATTATCATTTATCATAAAATGCGAGATAAAATGTTTAAAATTAACTGTTCCGTTGCGGAAACAAAACAAATCTTTTCTTTTCCAATAGATCCGCCTTTACAAATAGGATACTTGCAGTGTTTATCTTTCGATTAAAGAAAACAAACAAGTATCACAATTGATCGCGAAAGCATATACTTCTATTGACTATTTGAGAGGATCATCTGATATCCGAATACAGTTCGAAAGAAAATGGATGTTAAAACCACCACGGAACTGCTCAGAATCTTATTAAAAGGTCATAGCAAAAACAATTTTTGGTTGTCGCGATTCGTGAACGAAACGAAAGAATAGTCACCTTTCTCACGACAATAGCTACATTTGCTTTTGACACATATAGAAACGAACTCCATTGTTAACCATTGCTAAAGCGAGAAGCATTTTTAAGCGCTCACGTCACTTTCACCGCACTACATTTCTGAAAATCATTTTTGGGACTAATGAAACATTTAACGCGAATTTATGATTTTCTGACAGTTGAATTTATCTTAGGCGAGGTTTTAGAATGCTCCTCCGCTTTTATGTTAATTACAACTTTGATTGTCAACGCTGAATCACAATACTTCATAATGTCTTGCCGCTGTTTGGCATTTTCTCGTGTCGTTAAATTTAGGGGAGGCTTGATCACGTACCCTACCATTTCATATTGTTATTAAAAACCTACATTTTCGTAGGCCTCAATTAAAGCGGATTTAGATACAACAAACGATTAGTTGCTAGCATGATTCTCGGTAATTAGGATTCTCATCTCAAAATGTTAATTGCAGTGGCGTGCATTAGCAGTATATTAGTTGAACTACTTTGAATTGATTACGATCCGGTAGCTTTTACGATTTGGTCTTAAATAAATAATGGGCCAGAGGGCTAATAGATATTAATATTTTTAGCATGCCTCCGTTATTCTTCGTTAATTGCCGTGAAAAGTCGTTTATTTTCGTTAGGTTTGAGTATCCCGCGCTAGACCCAGGGTGGTTGGATCAATATGACAGAAATCGGAGGGCGTTGGAAAACCGGCGCAACTAACAGAGTTTTCTTTGGTGCGTGGCCGCGCACAACTCTAGTTGAAACGCACGTATGCAACTTACTCAGAAAATTTACCTATGTGATAGATTAATATATTCTCACCACGTGCAACCAAAAGACTTTATTATGGCCACTTGAAAGGGTGTTTAGCAAGACTTATTTAAGTGCCCGTTCTCAAATAAAAATTATGTGTCTTTTAACAACAGGAATTTAATTACTTTAAGGTGTGTTCTGCGCATGGTAATTTATTTTTATCGGAAGTTGTTTTTGTAAGTATGTGTAGGTATACTCAGTTTTCGACGGAAAAAATTTCATTACTTCCCCATTTCGGGATTACCTTCATTCACTCTATAATTTAGAAACATTCCGCTCTGGGGAATTATAAAGGTGATACATTTCGCCGGTGCCTTTTGAGTAGTGTTGTATTAAACTTTCACTCGCAAGAATTTCTTGATATTACACCCCTTCAGTGATAAAATTGATTTTTTGTATGAATTATTCATGTACGCGAAACTACTAGAGATTACAAAATAATAGTGGTGCGCCCTAACAATTTTTCAGTACAAATTGGAACCAAATAATCGTTCACCCAAATTTCGACAGTAAATAACCCTCAATTAAGTGCATTGAATAAAAACACTATTTTTATTCAATGATTAAGTGTTAAAACTGAGTGCTCATTTTCGTCGAATAAATCGTTCAAGATCACGCAAATATCCGCTAATGACTCAACAATCAAATTAGCCATTCTTTCAAAGTTAACAGCTCATATTTTACAGATGCGGAACAACTGCAAAGTATATGCAACAGAATTTTGGCATCGTAACAATGCCAGCAATTTTATTTTAGTGGTAAGAATCAGCTGTTGGTGTAATAAATGTTTTTGCGTTTCCCATACAAGAAAAGCCGTATATCTTCGTAAGAATCGCAATTTGAATACAATATCGGATAATTTAAATGAAAACGTGCGCATTAATAAACTAAATCACCTATTCAAGTCGTTTTATGATGTTTGACTGACTAATGTAATCGTTTTATGTGCAATTGCTTTAGATTATTGCAAGCATCATGACACGTATTTCAATTTCAAAGTTATACGTGAAATGACATCCTAATTTGTTCTAACGCGTTATAATTTGTCTCAAATGCATTTACGGCTAATGACGAGTACCACACGGGCGGTGGAGATTAATAGCCGTTTGCTTTCAATTCAACCTAATTTCCCCAATATGACTCGTATACCAGGCGTCTTTAAAGACAACGCTTAAATTCAGGAATAGTATAACATATAATAGAAGAAACAACTGGCACTGATTTTTAAACTCCAAGTTTTTCTCGTTTATTGACAACTTGCTTAAAACATGTCTTTAGTACGTTTTTCACTGGGCATATTTCTTTTGCTTCGACGAATGAAGTATGTGAATTTTTTTTGCAGCACACAATCTAAATTCCAAAAACCGAATTCCATATTCTCCAAGTGAATTTGGAACCATTGCTGTTCATCTTGTAAACACAATCTCATACTTTGTTCCAGTTTACTCTCCTAGCTTCGTTTACTTGTCTTAACATTAGTCTAATTTTCTTTGTACCCGACGTACCCGACTTTCCGCTGTAATCCTCACTCTTTTTTTATTTTGTCCTCGTCCATCTCACTTAAGCAAACTAACTCACGTGTTTTTCTTCCACTATCAGTACAAAGTACTGATGCTGTAGGTCCTTTTACCCTCTTGAGCAATTTTCTCCTCCTTAATTTTACCATTATAGCTGTCCTTCTGGTTACCCCATATTTTCCTGCCGTCTTTGTTATGTTGTTGTTCACTTCTCTGATGTTCACGTCGAGTATGTAGGTACCTATTTATTTTTATGTTGTATTCTTTGATCCCGTGAGCTTTGGTTGTTCTGGAATTCGCTTATGTTTTGTGAATTAATCGTCTACGCCTTTTGGGATATAATTAATCAGAAAGAAAACAAATCTCGTATTTATTATTTCTCTCTCAACTGTAGAAGGTTTTTTTTACAGGTATACAAAGCACTTATATCACGTCATTCCCCCCTAAACCTTTTTTACTTTCTTAGCTGAAATTTGGCAACTGCGTATGTGAAATAAATAGCCTTCTTGTCTTCCGGTTTCATCGGAAATAACAACTTTTAAATTTGAAATGAAATCCACAGTACATTTTTAGATATTTCCATGCAACATGACATTCTGAATACAATGACACCTCAAATGTCAACATCTGGCATTTTCATTTAAAAATTTTCAATTTTAATCTTACTTGCCATAACGCCCATAACTATGTTAAAACAGTCAATTGTTTCATGATGCTTACGGCTGTAAGTCAATTTTTGAATTATACTAATGAGCCCCATAGACTTCCGATTTGCACCCTTTAGGGTGGCTCGTTAGCATATTTGTAAAAAGCATTTTTTAGCAATAATTTGACACCGCACGCTTAATATTTTTAGTTCTATTTGCACTAGAAAATGATATTGAACTAAAAATATTAAGTATACATAGTAAATAAAAGAATTGCTCTTTACGAATGTGCCCAGAAAAAGTTATCAAATCGATTTTTCCAAGGCTCCTCAATTGAACTGTTTTAATATAGTCCTGGTACGTGCGCTTTAGTTTCTCTACAATGCCAAAGTATCAAGTATCTCCCAGATTAGTAACATTTAATGTAGTGTTTATGGCAAAAATCCACTTCAACTATTAACTAACGCTATGCGATTCCTATGTGTTCCTTTGTATCTTGTCGAAGGTTTTCTACAGGTAAAGCACATGTCATACTATTGTGCTATTTCTGCCGTGTTTCTTACGTTTTTTTTTAAATTAAGTACGAGTATTTAAGTAACACTTCTCTAATCCGGTCGAATGGTAATTTATCTGGGAATAAATAGAAGTTGTTTTAATTTGCTTCTATGTTGGTTTTGGGAAGTTGAACCTGAATTTTGGATTTGCCTTTGCCCAACGATATAATTTGAGCTGCAAAATCGTGAAGGATTTGCAATTTTTGCTAATAATTCGAGATTTTAAGGTTTGGCGTCAGAGTTAAAGTTAAATCAATGACTTGGCGCTTTAATTCTTTCCATTTTTTGTTTTAAACTCATTACGTTGGTGATACCCTCGGTCATTGCTTTTTATTGAAATGACTCCAAAATTCGATTTTGAGAGTTCATCGGATCTTTACGTTTCAAGGTTCCAGAAGTCCAAAAAAGTGGATTTTGAAAAATGTCTGTATGTTCATATGTGTGTATGTGCGTGCGGCACGATTCTTATCAACAAGGTTCAGTCGAAACTACCCGACGAATTTGGTTGAAACAAAATTTAAAACAGATGTTCCGTTAAATGGTCTCGAAAACTGAAAAGTTTTTGAAAGAAATTCGAAAAAGGCAAATGCCTTTGTGGCAACAAAATTGATTATTATTGAATTACGTAGAGAGCAGACCGATTTGGCTGAAATGTTGTATCAATATTCTCCCTAATAATCGTGAAAGTTAAGAAGTGGAAACGATCGGAAAATAGGAAATGTCCGTTTGGCTATAATAGTTATTTACATAAAAGCCAGGAAAATGACACATTACTGGCGAGAAAATATTGAAGTACGTGGTCCCGAGTTATTTAATTTCCGAGTCAAGTCACTCGGCTATTAGGAAGGAGGGGGAGGGGGCATTCCATTCCTTGACTCAAGCATTTCACTTTTAATTGAATCGTAAACTTACAAATAAGATTCAAGAGCGACTGAGTCATTCAATCCTACGAAGCTCTGGATAGGACACATAGGAAATTATTTTGTAAATTACAGTTGTAACTGGGAATTAGTTTATAATTTACAGTTGTAATTGGGAATTACACTAATTTACAGTTGTAACTGGGAATTATGCTAATTTACAGTTGTAACTGGGAATTATACTAAGTTACAGTTGTTACAATACAACTGTATAATTTACAAAACAATTTCCTATGTGTCCTATCCAGAGCTTCGTACAATCCTCTTGAAACGTGCATTTTTTTGGTTAAATTGACTATAATTACTTAAGATAATAAAAAATACCGTGTTTTACTAAAAAATTAATTACCCACCACTACCTGAAGGGTTATAATTTTTAATATTATATAATTTTACGTCAAGTTTGATATTAATTTTAATTTTGTTTATGTTCTGTAATTAAAATAGTACTTAATATTAAGAAGTATAAGATAGGGGTTGCAACCCTCTTTACCTAAGGATTAGAAAATAGTTTGTAGATCCATAATAATAAAACACCTAATAGGTTTAATATAAATTACCCGTATAGCGCGTTCGAAAATAGGTGGGCATTTTCTGGGGTTAACTTCGCCTTTTGTAAATTAGACTCAGAACTTCAATTTTTCACAGAAGTTTTTACCAATTTTTTGACGATCCTTTACGTATTTTTAGTATTCATTAACAACCACCATCGCTTATAAAGTTAATAAATTCATTCATAAACGTTACGAGGGATGGTTTTCTTTCAGGAACCAACGAAATCTTTAGCTAACTATTCCATACAAACTAATATTTTAAGTTAGTTAACGTTTTCTTACATAATCATTTATTTTCTATGGAATCAGCAAGCTCGTGAATTACTAAAGTATGTGATTGGTTTCAGAATTTTGAGTATGGAAGTTATTAAAAAAGTGCATGTTAGTAAAACTTTAAATAGTGATAAGTGTTCTTTGTGTACTTTAAAGACTAATAAAGGACTGGTAAAAGTTCCATCACAGACACCCTACGACACCCTTGGTGAAAGTCAAGAAATGGAATCCATATCAAGAGCAAGATCTACCTATACTAACATTAAAATCAGATCAGTTTATATCGGAGAAAATTAAACATTTAAAAGTGAACTGGCACGTTGAATGATACAAACGAATTACAAAAGCATCTTCTTTACAACGAATGAAGTAAAAGTACAATGCCCAGTTGGAAGCTGTAACTAGTCAATAGTCATCAAGAAACTACAGATATATTATTATATCTGAAGCTACATCATCAAAGTTTATTAGGAGCAAAACGACAGCATATTTTAAAGATTAAGATTAAGCGTTTTTTGTGACAAAGAAGGTACTAAGTGTCAACAATTAAGACATGTCTCGTATGACTCTTTGGGTTATCTGCTAAATAAAGCAATTGAAATATCGGAAAATAAAGTTATTTCTGTGAGATTATCAGAGTGCATCTCTCCAGGTGATGCTCATGCCGTAGACATAATATATATTACCATGAGAACTGTCGGAACAAAAATGTTACTAATGTTTTAAGAACAAATGGAAAGCAAAATGAGAGTGAAGAGTCATCAAAAGTAACTGGATCGTCTGTTGAGTTTCTTCAGTGTATAAAGTCTTTCCTAAGGGATGGATATCCTGATCCTGATATTATTTTCTCTGTTTCCAAGCAAAAAAATTAATTATACTCAAAGGTGCAAATGTTTAACCCAAAAAATGCCTTGTACGGAAGTGCGAATGTGCGAATGTGAGGCTGATCCCAAAATGTTGTTCAAACATTGAAATAGATGAAAAAACTATTGACAATTCCGACAACGAGTAATAAATCCATACTTTAGAAGAAAAAAAAGCTGTAAATACAAATTTTGTTTCGTTAAATCTATGTAAATATAATATAAATATAAAGCATTCTTTTCTTCTCTTGTCCATCCCTTTCTACCCCTTATAGACAATCTAGCAGACAAATATATTTTATAAAATAGTTTCAACTATTTTTTGTCATTATTTTTATATAGGGGCTGTTTAAAGTTTATGGGTAGTTTTCTCCCTTCCACCACTTCTTAAAGGTACGCCCCAAAGAGATTCAAGCGAATAAATACATTTTGAAAAATATTTATAGCAATGTTTTATCGCAAAATTTTTTTTCGATAGGGATTGTTTAGGGGTAGTTTTCTCCTTTCCGGTACCCCTTTCAAGTTTGCTCCATAGAGATTCAAACAAATAAATACATTTTGGAAAATATTTTTAGCTATTTTTTATCGTAATATGTATTTTTGTATAGGGGTTGTTTTCTCCTTTCGGCCAGTCCTGAGATCTACACATTTTTTCGAAAATGTCGATGTATAGCATGATATTGCTTCACAAAGTTGCACACGAAATACAAATTGAAGACTGACCAATTAAAAATAAGTCAAATCCAATGCCCCGTAGGATCACACCTCTCTGTCTCTGGCAAACACTTGTATTTATTCGGTTCAAACTTTGCACAGTATCCCACATACAGGGTGACAATTTGAAAACTTACCACCCCCCATATCTTAGTAAATAAACGAGATATTTAAAAAAATCAAAATACGTGTCGGTAATTCGGAGGGGGAATCACAATGACATAGTTGGCGACGCACCCCCTCACACCCCCTGCGCCCTAGCCACCCCAACTTTTAAATCTTAAATAGGGACTCCCCATGTGTGATACGTCATTGGAAAGCTCTGAAAAAATGCTTTCCAACCATACCAAATTGCATTACATTTAGGTTAGTAATTATCGTGCAAATCAAAAAATAAACATGGAAAATCGTATTTAACTTGAACTTCCAAAGCCGACTCGACAGCAACTCATTTTTGATGGCCAGTTCTAATCTATTCTCAAACTCTTGTCGAACCTTTTCAAATGTTGGTTTTGCAATATTTTGACATTCTTGAATAATTATTATCTGTCTTGGTTCGTCTATGTTCGCCGGTTGCGTTTTAAATACGACAGATTTCAAATGTATCATATTAGTTTATTTTTTTATTTGCACGATAATTACTAACCTAAATGTAATACTATTTGGTATGGTTGGAAAGCATTTTTTCAGAGCTTTCCAACGACGTATCACACATGGGGGGTCACTATTTAAGATTTAAAAGTTGGGGTGGCTGGGGCGCAGGGGGTTGGAGGGGGTGCGTCGCCAACTATGTCATTGTGATTCCCCCTCCGAAATTACCGAAACGGATTTTGATTTTTTTAAATATCTCGTTTATTTACTAAGATATGAGGGGTGGTAAGTTTTCAAATTGTCACCCTGTATAACAAGCCTATTGAAAATGGGTCAAATCCAATGACCCCGTAGGGTCACACCGAGAGGATCTGCCGCTTTTTAGATCCGCTTTAGGGGTTTTGATTAAATAAAACAAAGAATGCTATTTGCTACTTAACAATCCAGGATATCACACTTTTCTGCAGAAGATTTGCTGATTAATTTAAGTTTGTTTTTATTAGGTTAATTATTTTAAAAAATTTCTAATGAAGAATCTCAAAATTCAATTTGATGATAATAAGAAAACATAAGTTGCGTACTATTTTGTCGTCAAATTGAAAGCTACGTTAAAAAGTAATTCTAGTAATGTCATAGTTTAAACGGGCCATTCCTACTACTTTTCTTATACATAACAGAAAATTTGGAAAAATTCAAAATTTCATTCTTCTGTTATAAAACTAAAAGTGTCGTTGTACGATTATGCTTTAACTGTAGCATTTTTTCCAAGTGTAACCAATAACATGGATTAGCAGGACAGACCACAAGCTTTTATGATAAATGATAATCATTGTGACACTTTATATTAAATATGCATATGGGAGTAATCCAAATGAATACGGTTATAGTTTCAGGAAACTATACAAACCTGAAGTCAAATCATATAAGGTTTCCGAACCGAATTGAAGAAAATTTACATTTTTGGGAAATGTTATTATTTATCCATAAACGTAATGTTTTTACAGTGCCGTTTATTTTCTGACTATTGCTCTAGCTACACTATACGGTGTACAAAAATATACCTACGTATAAAAGAACCTCCTGTAACAGAATTGGCGATATGGGCATAACATTTTGATGGGAGATATTATGAGTAAAGACGATTTACATTGTGGTGGAAAAATATTTTATAATGTCTTATCAATGTTTAATCTCTTTACGAGCAATCGTTCAAACATTTTTGAGGTTACTGGTAGTCGACTGATCGGTCTACATAACGATGTTTCATTGATTGGTTTTCGCGGTTTAATCTAAGCGAATTTCCATATTAGTGGAATGTATGAAAGCAGGATGTATCGTAAGCAGAAGAATAGTCTTTTTTTGGTAGATGATGTAATATTTGTCCTGTTATTAGGCAATTTTTCTAAGGTTTAATTTGAGCATTTGCTGCTGTATTTCTTTCGGTGAAAAGGGTTTGATAGGCATTTTTTAGCTTTTTTACAGTGATTTGTTATCTCGGCCATTTATAAATCGAAATGCATGAAATTCAAACTGGGCATAGTCAGTACCATGGTGCTTTCAGACCTTGTAAACATGAAAATGGCAACAGCTCAATTATACGAATACCCAATCCCCAATTCGAAACCAAAGTAATTGATACAAAATGAATCGAACTCCTAGGCACGTATGTATTTTCTAGTTTAATGGGATTATCAAATCCTAAAAATTTTGTTTTAGCAATTTGTTACACAGCCTATTTGCGTATCGTATTTTTACAACAACTTTGGTTAAGAAACTTTCAGATGTATAAGAACTCGAAAACATGTTCAAGATTCAATTCCAACAGGAAGTTTATATTTAAAAAAAAAACGGGAGAAAGTTTCACTTGCATGATTTTCTTTAATGCCACATATTTACAGCCCTGAAATTTTCCAGGCGGTTAATTTCGAAAGGGAACGGCATCAAGCGAAACTGACAATGACTGCTGTAATACGGCGACGATGTGAAGCAACATCGGCTGATACGGAAATATTGAATATTTACCTCGTATTAACAAAATAAGTGTGAATGGCAATAAAACACAATACTACGCGTCCAACAATCAAAACTGATAGCGACAATACAATACAATGGAATAATGCGCACACATGGAACAATGGGACATAAAATACTTGACGCCATTTTGCAGCTCTCGTAGTTCATTAGCTTGGCAGTTCTAAAATTAAAAATATCGACCTTATCGCATTAGTAAAATAATACGTATTAGAAACATCCGATGGGGTTCTATAATATACCTTTGCCGCAACAACTCGAGTTCGAACCAATTGCAGCTAATTAATCGGGAAATAATGTATGAGTTTCAATTTACAAGGTAACGTAAATTTGGGGATGCTAATGAATTTGATCAGCTCACTCCTGCGACGTATCCATAAAACGCAATAATGGATTACGAGATTCATTACGTGCTCGTGCATTGCTATATAACATCTCTAAAAACTTTTAAAGTAGCCTAATAAAAAAGCGAGTATAAATAAAGATTTTATATCGCGAACAAAGACGTTTGGGGTAATTTAATGTGCAGGCTGGACTTTCAAGACTTTATAACTTGTTTTACTAAGACTTCTAATTTTATTATGAATTGCACGCGAATACACTCGAAAAAGAATTTCAGCTTTTCTTGCTTAATTTGTTTTTTCCGCGAGAATTTTTCCTAATGTGTTTTTTTACATTTTAGAAGAGCCGGCAATGAGGGTGCGTTAGCAGGGAGTATGGGACCGCCGGGATGGGCATGCGCACAGACCCAGGGGGCAAGTCTCGTCCGCTGACCACCGCCACGGTACCGCTGCTCGCCGCCTTCGCCTTCATCTACATTCACACCGGTATGTTTTTTTACCGTATTTTTTGTCGCGCTACCAGAAAGTCTGCGGCTCATTTGTGACAATTAACTTAATTGTTTTATAAGGAAGTTGCCAACTTCGCTTTAAGTTCTACGCATAGGATGTAACACAATTTCTGTTGTCGCAAACTCATCCGAACTTCGTTAGTTTAACATAGACGAATTTCCTGATGTGATGTAGGTACGTGGGTGGTTCGAAAGTTTAGGGAACTATACCACCCACAAATCAGTCAAGTCAAATGAAGTTAATGGGTGGACCTTAGAAAATTTTCTTGTTCGCTTCGCACACAATCACAATCATGGATATTTTAGTGAATACAATAATAAAATGAAGAGTTTTAAGACTGTAGGTACTATTGTAACTGTAGTTATGTAAAACCCTGGAAATAGCCTTTCAAAAAGGTGTAGATTTGTGTGCTTACTCACGTACTCTTTGAAGGGAATTATTAGGGGGTGTCGACATGGAGGGTGCATTCGTTAATCTGCCCCCTACTGCCATTGCATCCAGGAAAGGACTGAGTGTTTTAAGGTTGATGGTTTGTTGGCTTCCTGTTAAGGTCCTCGGTTGTCAGTACTGCCCCACAGAACTCCATCCGCGGTAAGGCTTTCTTCAATTTTATCTGGGCCACTTGAGATTTAGCCGTTAACCTGGGCGTTTCTATATGTCCCTTTGCTCACAGCACCCGCTGTATATAACGGTGCCGCCGTAGGCTCTTTCTAAAGCATTACACGAGATATGAAGCTCGACGCATGGCACGGTATAAGTGCTGTCTACATTCCGTGTTGTTGTTTCTTGATATCTTTTCTCACATTGTTAATCTTCTTGTGATAGGGCTGCCTCGTAGATTTAGATTTCCCAGGTTTTCAGCAGAGCGCCCCCGTCTGTGATAGAGACGAAGCTTTGCATGGGCACTACTCCTTTCCTGGTTACGTGTGGGATCGCTTGAGTGACATTGAGGGGTCGGACAACCCTAGTCATGGAGGTAGTACAAAGGGCCCGAATGAGGCGCGTGGACACTGTCCACCTTCACATCGTAATCCTCTTTCCCTGACGACCTTTGTTTGCCCTGAACCCACGCAACCCACCGGGGTTGAGATATAAGATTCCCGACCGAATGTGTAAGATTTGCTTGGGAAAGCGTTAGGATTTACAACCCTAACGGTACATTTGGTCCTTCCTGGTGCCGCGTTACCACAAGGGTTCCGATCCTAGTGAAATGGTACATTCTAAAGTGAGTTCAAGTGCCATAGGACAGTGATAGAAACAAATGCACGCCCAATGCCCAACATACCTAGAGGACGATGAGAAATACCTTCCCTGCCCAGCCTGGGTTACACGTACCTAGACTTCCGTAGACAGTATATGAGATTTGATCAATTTATGAAACGTAGCCAATACACACGGACCGAACTGGATGAGGAACGTTGCAACAAATGTTGAAATGTTAAAAAGACATTAATTCTCCAGCTCTGAGATGACATCCAAGAAGCACAAGAAGAGATTATGGTAAGAAGCGAAGTATCTGATATTTTAGAATCCCATTACAAAACTGCAAACGACGCAGTTCACCAAATCTTGATAGCGGCCTGCGAGAAATGATCACGATGTACTTTCGTATATCTACGAGCCAAAAAATGAGCCAGAAGTGAGTTGAATGGGTTCAGGGCAAACAAAGATAGGCAGGGAAGAAGGAGTGGTAATGCAAACCCTATGGCCATCACTGAAGAGTCTGCGCTGATAACATTCTGGGAAATTGAAGAAATCCAGAACCAAGAGGCAGCCCTATCGCAAGAAGATGAGGTTTTCCTGCGAATGTATCAAGGACTGCGGCATATGTTACCTCGAAATGCAGGAGAGGCACCTGCAAAAGACGACATTCCCCACCATGCAATTTTAAAAGAGGAAAGCACCACCACAACATTACGAGTGGTGCCTCAGCCACTTCCAGTTCAGGGAAAGTCAAAACAAGATGATGCCAACTGCTCCAAAACTACAAGAAGAGTTGTCGCAGTTGCTACTCAGATGGAGACAATATGCTGTGGTAATAACCGATGACATCGAGCAAATGGACAGACGAATCCAAATACGAGAAGACGATCAACTGCATCAGACTAAACTTTGACGCTATTCCCCTCGTGAGCCTATCAAGGAGAACAGAGTTACAGACTAACCACAGTAACTTATGGCACAACTTCCGCCCCATACCTAGCAGTAAATTTCCTGCAACAATTGACAGAAGAAGACGAAGCTGAGCGGTTCCCTGACGCATCGATAGTCGTGAAACGGGACTTCGGCATGGACGACTTAATAACGGGGTCCTTCAACATCAGTGGATCGTCTTCACGTATTTTGATTTGTCTAAAAAGCAATTGTAAGGGACTCATTTCCACCCTGCCCGAAGATCTACAGGAAAGGGGTTCATGGATCTTGGACCAAAAGCCATAAAAAATACCCTAGAGGCGTCGATCAAAGATTATCCTCAAGAATATGTGAAATATGTGGACTACTAGGACGCAAAAGGCAAGGAAAAGTCGACGCATCAGCGTTTCCCGCATACTAACGTAGTTGACGTAGGTTAAGAAAATAATATCTGTGATATAAATAGCATGTAAACGCTTACAATAAATATTATCAGTTAACAATTTTTGAATTGTCGGATACGGCTCGGAGAACCAACTGCAGCACTTTATTAAGTTAAGTTTCGTTGTAGTATTTCCTAACTGTTGCAACGGAACAGTAAAGAATCCATAAGTTGCAAAAAAAAAACCAACAACCCATTCACAATGTTTGAATAATATATGAAAAATCATGTTATGCCTTCTAGAACACAGGCTTGAAGGATGGATCACTAGAGAAATACACTAGTTTTATTTTTGCCTTTATCTTTAAGTGTTTTAACCTAGAGTTAGACTGATCTATACTTGAACCCCGATTCAAAATAGCTGCTTTTTCCACAGAAAATCTCCACGTGATGATAGTTTTCTAAAAAAAATGGATAACTTGAAAACCAAAAGAGTACAACATTTTGCTCATACGGCAAAACTATAAAACGGGGCAATTTGCGACACCGAGTATATGCGTAAAGTGGACGGTCCATTATAAAAAGTTGAATAACCGAAGAATTGTAAGAACACAAAATGTGATTCATACGAACCTTGAAATAATTACCTGTAGGCGGAATATTTTCAATCAAAATTAAGTTTTAACAATACGAACAAAAAGCGTCCATATGATCGCGACAAATTTGAACACTTACCTCTCGATGGAAGCTGTCACCTATTGGATAAATTCGTACAGAACCCCAAACCATTTCAATAGGATTTTTTGATTAGTTTAACATTCAGATATTGCAAAGGTATGAGAAACGCAAATCATTCTCTATCCACCGCCGCGCATTTCAATAATGCTAGTTACCAATTATGGGGAACAAAAGAAATCGCCGAATCATCTTGTGCAGACAAACATGACTGCCAATGTCCAACGTAAAGCGCGCCATTGAGTCAGATCGTGTTGGAGATTTTCATACTGCCAATTATAATATGTACTTTATTAGTCAAGATGATGAGCTACGATGAGAACAGCCACTTACTTGTGGGATTTGAAGACTAATCCACTAACTATACGTAAAGAACTCTCGAACTTGACCTGTTCTCAAGTATATACCTACTCGACCCGTAACGCATGCACAATGAAATTTCAATATCATCAACCCTTACACGATGTGCTTCAATGCAAATATTCCATATTTGGCAAAGTGCTTTCGTTTTTTCATCGATCCGTGAAACGCGAGTCACGCAAAACTTCAGTAACTGCGATTATCGCTACGTTAATATGACGCTAACTGGACGTACTGTCAACTTGTCACAACTCTGTAACGTTACCACAGGGTATTCATGAAATGTGGGTCAAGCTTATTGTGGGTTACATCTCACATCTGTAATCTAATCAAAAACTTTTAAGTAAAAAACATCGCGCCCTTCTTCCGTATACGATTGGGAATAGACTGCATGTCAGCTCAGGATGTTAAAAATATGGGATATATTACGATGTAGCCAGAATAACGCCTACCTCTGTGTGGGAGTATCCGTGTGTTTCCATTATTACTTTGACATGTTTGGTGCATCGTTCTCCCTAACAGACATCTATCAATTTATTAATTTCAAATTGACGCAACTTCGGGGTTGTTTTCCAGTATAATTTATAAATATTAACATTACTCATTGATTACTGGTATTTTAACATTTTAAGTTCATAGTTCACCACCTCATATTACAGTCTGTTAGAGATCTTAGGGCTTCATCAGGAAGTTTGCAAGAAGTGTCCGAAGGCGGTATCGGATAACACTCATAAGGCCACAGAGCCGACCATAGCTTTTGTAAATGATCCAAGACTTTGAAACTAATACTTCGTTAGGGATTGCTATAGCAAGATAAGGGATATAATTTCCACAGACAATGCCCAAAATATGCAATTTAAGCACAATAAATTTCTCATAGTTAATTGAAAGAGTTTAGAACATAATACGATTATTCTTTGCTAGCTTCCCCACATTTAAAGAAAAAAGGCATTTCTCTATGAATTTCACTATGTAATTGACCTGGTGACGTTAGATAAAGTTAGAGTTTTGTGAATTTGAGTAATTTCTAGGCATTGCGCATCATTGATATTTTCAGGTTTTAAAAAATCTTAGCGACTGCAAATTATTTCCCATTGGTTAAATACAGTGCAACGGACGTTTGCTTCCACAGGGTCTTTGTTTCTTACTTTCGTAGGATCGATAGTGCCATAATGAGATTTGTATCGCACTTCATCTTTTTTGCCAACTATGCATGGTAGCGCTCTGTTCAAAATTCGAAGAATCAACAGGTTTGAAGGATATATGGGAGATGATTTATCACCCTAATTCTAATTTGATTCGAAGGGCGAGATATAAATAGCAAATGAACACGACCCTCTTGGTAGGTTTAAATTAATCACGAAGT